TGAAGCCTCTCAAAAATGAATAAGAAAGGTAACTTTTACCTTCTTGTTGCATTATTTAAAGTAAAATTTGTGATACTTGTAAATTTGTAAATTACAAAATGAATACATTTTGAAATGCTCAATATCAACACTAGTCTGAATGATTATGATGTAACTAGTCACTATTGATCACAATGATATGTTCAAGTGATTCTTTAGCAAAGAAAATAAAAACATTTAAATTATTTATACAGAAAAAGAATAACAGAACAGAAGTCTGAAACCCTCTGATTTATCAGAACGTTTCATGACTCTGCACTGGCGTCTCCAGGGGGTGGGGCTTAGGGGGCATGAACCCCTCTTAAAAAATACTGTCCACCCCAACAGGTCATGTTCACATGATAGAAAGTCACACAGAGCGATCATCGTCAATAAAGACATAAAGATAAAACCAAATAAATAATTAAATACAAAACAAATAAATATATAATAAATCTCTCTATATAAAATAAGAAATTATTAAATTTTATACATATGAAATTAAAGATTTGGTTTTTGTGCCCCCTGCTCGTAACATTTCTACTGGCCTGGCCTGCTCACCCCTGTGAAAATGTAGTATGTGTTACAAAAATGTAGAGGAAGTGTGCTAACTCTGATTTACATAATCTGGCAGGAGGCTTTTTATTCTCCACACACACCAGAGCAGCAGATTTGTCTGAACGATCATCTTCAGCAGGAGTGAACTCTCCAGCTGTGGGCTGTTTAATGGGATGAAAACCATCACGTTCAGGCGCACAGGATTAGTGCGGGAAATCTGAGCGCCGATAGCTACACCTTGCTAACATAATTATTATCGTGGCACAGAGCAGCTCGTTTAAAACACACACACACACACACACACACACACATAATCGAAGGTCATGGATGTTGCGTCTTTAGCATTGTCCAGAGTTGTCTGGACTCGACAGAGGACGGAGATCGGCTTCAGATGTCAGTGTGGTCAGCTTTCATCCGCAGCTGAGTCCCATTTTTAGCAGCAGAGCCTGAGTCATGCACACATGCAGCAGAATCCTTGGGAATGCAGCAGTTCTGTCTGATTGCAGGAGAGCATGGCGTCAACTCAACTGCTGCACGGAGCCACTGCAGAGGTTGCTGACCCCTCACTGCCTGAGGGACAGGGGGCGATGATGATGATGATGTTTGAGGGATGAGTCATCACATGAGCGGCTGGCCGACTTCAGCTCTGCTGCAGCTGCAGACTACTCTGTATGACGGCGAGCGATTTCAGGCTGACGTTAAGCGTTTAGAGCCGCTCATGGCAGGATAGATGATTAATTGTAAGCATTTCAGATGATAAAAGTAGCTCCATCAGAGAAGACTGAACAAAATGGGATGAAAAGAAAATATTTAATGGCCATTCTGGATATTTTGTAGTTATTTTAGGGGAAATATTCCTCTGTCTGATCATCCCTACGATGGTGTATTAAGGCCTTTTTTTTTCTCTTTTTTTAGAATTTTCACTTTTATTATTTTTACAGAGCAATTATACAGCCATACATCAGTCCATCATAACACAAGTGTTGACAATATGAAGTTTCCCATAAAATAAACATCTTAGCATGACATCTTACGACCTCAGCATCACATCTGTAGGCTCATCACCATGCAACCCTAGAATAAGTATACACTTTGGGCAGGACAGCTAAACACCTTATGCCAAAAGACAACAGAGCTCCTGCTGGCCCCCAGCGCACGCTAAAAGTAGTTTTTTGAAGTCTTAATGAGTAGGTTATGAAGGCCATTTTAGATAGAAATAAAAAGGAGGAGTTAATTTCCGCCAAAAACTCAGAAACTGAGAAATTTTGAGGATAATTAGTTGGGCTATCTGTTCTGGTAGCTAGCTTGCTGTCAACTGCTTAACAAGGATCAGCCTGAGAAAACTCTGCTCAGTCTGACACATTATCTGGCTTTTCAGTAGAAATTTGTCAAACTTTCTCCTGATTTAAAACCAAAAAGAAGACATTTAAACATTATTTTCTGTTATAAGGAGCCTGAGGCAAAGATTTGCTGTGTTTTTCATGTGACATTGTTTGTTAATTAGCTCAAAGACTTGATTGCTCAGATGTATTAAGTTTTAGTGAAGACTGAAGTTCCTTCAGATACATCACTAAATATTGTAAGTCTGAGCTGCTGTGAAATAAGAAGTCACATGGATTCCTACCCTTGTGGTAAAATGATGACCCACCTCAAGAGTTTCATCCTCCAGGGTTTACATTCCCAAGATTCTCAATGAACAACAAGCTATGACACAAAGAAACAGTAAAACATCTGGAACAACAAGCCTACTGTTAAACTCTAGCCTGGTCATCGGCTTCCTATGCAGTTCCACTCTAATCTCACTTCGGTTCTATGTCTGGGATTTCTCCCATTGATCTGGATTTCTCCTGTAGATTTTCAGCGAACAGAAGGAGAAGTTGTGAGTGAGTGGAGACTTTGATTTTCTGCACTGTTTCAGAATTGTAGTCTGCCTGTAGCTGTAGCGATGGCAGCAGAGGAAGCGAACAAAGTCATTCAGTCAGCGCTGGCCACACTTCCAAATATTGAACGAACATCAGCAGCCGCCTCATTCAGCTCGGCTCTTCTCTCTTCGCAGTGGAAGGCTGTGTGAAATTTCTGGTTAGCTTGACAGTGTCAAACTGACGCATTATAAGCAACACAGCTAAACTTTAAAATCTCAACACAGCAGACGCCTTCAGGAAGCAATCTTTCTCAGCAGATGAGAGCCCAGGCCTCCTGGGCAAAGCACAGCGTAGAACAATATGCTGTTTTTTTTTCTCCTGTCAAATTTCAGCGAACAGAAGGAGAAGTTACTTATCTTACGCAGAAAGTAAAAATAAAAAAATATCTAAAAAGACGCAATCTATTGGTTGATTAGTGGTACAGCTGTGTGACAGAGGAAGCCGTCCAGGCCGGAGCTGCTGGTGTCTGATGTCTATGAGCTGTGACAGGCCTCCATCCCGCTGACCTGATTAGACCGCTTTACTTACCTCCTGCTGGCAGGCGTCAGCGTTCATGATGGACTTAGTATGTCGAGTCGAGTCAAGTTTATTAGCATGGCACGTTTCAGTGAAAAGGCAGTTCAAAGTGCCCAACACCATAAAAACTTCATGCAGCCACCACTTATGAAACAAGCAATAAACATTATATTTTTTCAAATGCCAAAATCAAAATCAAGTCTAGATTTAAAGGAACTCAGTGTTTCAGCTGTTTTGGAGATTTCTGGATGGTTGTTATAGATTTGTGGTGCATAGAAGCTGAATGCTGCTTCATGTTTGGTTCTGGTTCTGGATGCAGAGCAGAACCAGAAGACCTGAGAGGTCTGGATGGTTGATACAACAGCAGCAGATCTTTAATGTACAGTATAGTGCTGCTAAGACGTTCAGTGATTTATAAACTAACAGCAGTATTTTAAAGTCTATTCTCTCAGTGGAAGGACTGTAGAACTGGGTGATGTTTTCTATCTTTAAGGTTTTAGTGAGAACACCAAAAACAGCTTTCTGGATCAGCTGCAGCTGGAGGATTGATTTTTTTTTTGTTAGTCAGACCTGTAGAGACACTGTTGCAGTAATCAAAAATAAACACATGGATGAGTTTCTCTAGACCTTGCTGAGACATTAGTCCTCTAATCCTGGAAATTTGTCTTTATGTGACTCTGAAGGTTCAGGTCTGAGTCCTGATCACTAATCTTCAGCTAACTGAGGCTGAGTGCTGACTCCAGATCGTTCCTCTTTAGGTCCAGAGATAATGGCTCCAGTTTTGTCTCTGCGTCTGTTCAGTGATTGGATGGGTTCAGAGTCACCTGGTGACATCATAATGTAGAGTTGTGTATCATCTCCATAGTTATGGTAACTAATCGTATTTCCTGTTATAACCTGAGCTGGTTGGAGCATATATATATTAAATGAGGGGTCCTAGGACTGAACCTTGGTGTTCCTCACATCTGACTTCTGTCCCCTTCAATGAGAAGTTACCTATTGATACGACAAAGTCCCTGTTCTTTATGTAAGAGTCAAACCAGTTCAGTGCTGTATCAGAGAACCGCTTTTACTTCTTTCCTCTTTATCTCAGTCTGGCAGCTTTTCCAACTTCTTTCTCTCCCAGGCTCTTATCCCAGTCTGGTCTATATTAAGGTATCTGTCCATCCCTCTGGCAGCCAGGTTAAATCCACTGACAGATCCAACGGCTGTTTGAAAACTGTAAAACAAATTATATAAAAAAAATAGAAGAAAATATATTTTCGTCTAGCCGAGGGGAGAAATCTGTTTGAAGACTGAAGTCTTAGCAGCAGCTCCTGCTGTGAAGCAAACTTTATTCCCTCTCGTCCCATCTGATACCTGTCCCACTTTCACCAGATATTATAAAACAGGAAGTCTTGCATCGTAAAATGTCGATCGACGGAGTCTTGATGCAACCTCTGGTGCCTCTCTGCAGGTAAATCCCACCTGGCCATCGTCCAGAAGGTGAACAACGAGGGTGAGGGCGACCCGTTCTACGAGGTTCTGGGTCTGGTCACCCTGGAGGACGTCATCGAGGAGATCATCAAGTCTGAGATCCTGGACGAGTCCGACCTCTACAGTGAGTCATTGAACCTTTTTGCATTTTGTCATCATAGAAGCTCGAGCTCTGACGCGTTTAGTTGGGCTTTACTGGGAATGCAGGACACTGGGTTTATGAGAGCCGACCTCGATGGGACGGGGAAGGGGCTGAATTCAAACACAAGCTGCACAGATTTGGATTTGTAAACAGTTTGTATTGTATTTTATTGTGTGTCCTCCTTACTTTACTGTCAGCTGACAACAGGAACAAGAAGAAGGTGGATCCTCACAAGAACAAGCCGGACTTCTCCGCCTTCAAGCAGGACGGCGACAGCAAAGTGAAGATCACTCCCCAGCTCATGCTGGCTGCTCATCGTTTCTTAGCCACAGGTGAGCTCCGAGGACGGGTCATGCTCCGGGTCAGGATGAACACGTTACCGTCATTCAAAGGAAAGGAGAGGCCGATTAAATCTCCTTGTTGTAGATTTACTGTTCTGCCTTTAGCTCGTCATGTGTCATAGAGCAGTTTAAGCTAAGCTTTAGCTTGTTTTAGAATACTTTTGCCAAGTCCAAATCATGATCCCTCCACCGCCGTACACTGAGATGGTTATTATGGCCAACACATCACCTGTGTTAAGCAGTAGTTTAGGTCTGGTTCGATTCTAATTTGCTACATTAAGTTGTGCTGTAATTTTCTTTTTAGAGATAAGGTTTTTTTTTGTTCTTTCTTTCTTCTAAACAAGCCATACCTGTTCAGTCTCTGTCGGTACTCTGATGAACGTTGAAAAGGCAAGCCGAGATGTCAAGAGTCTGAAATGTAGCTGAGGGGTTTGATGCAGTAAGAAACGCGTGGTGAACATCTTTGGACTTCAGACCCAGCAAAAATGATTCAAGCTGCGCAGTTTTCCTTTAAAATGGCCAACCTACAGAACTGTTTTAGGTTTTGGATCTAAAATGGTTTACACCACAAAAATCAGACCACTTTATCTGTCACTAAAATATCAAATGTGTAGCTTGCTGCTGAGCACATTCAAAAATAAATAAAGATTCAAAACTTGTTTTCTTTTTTTGGATTTTTAATTAAAAAAGAAATATTAACCACATGTCAGACTTTTTATTTTTCAACTATATATGTACATACATGTAAAGATGTGTTGACTCTTTATGAAAGTTGAGTAAAATGGCAGCCTGCATAGCTTTGTTCTCATTAATCCTTAATAAATCAGCCTATTACCCTGCGTGTATCTCGTCGTGACGTTGTTTTTTGTTGTGGTCCTCTCAGAGGTCAACTTGTTCAGCCCATTCCAGATCACAGAGCGGGTGCTGCTGAGGATCCTCAGGCACCCAGAGGTCATCCAGGAGCTCAAGTTCAACGAAAACGACAAACGGTCGCCTCTGTACTTCCTCTACCAGAAGGGAAAACCTGTTGACTACTTTGTACTCATCCTGCAGGTGAACACACACACACACACACACACACACACACACACACACACACACACACACACACACACACACACACACACACTCACACAGACACACAAAAACTGGAGAAACATTCACAGCTGGCTGGTGTGAACGGAACTCCTAAGTTATAAAAGTAGGTTGATGGAAACACATTTTTTGCGTCGGTTCTGACATGTTCACTTCCACTGATGGGTCTGAGCCTCACTAGAGGAACAAAACTGAAACATTTCTGAGTCCAAACCTGCAGTTCAAAGGGAGAACTCTCCATTTTTCTGAGATGTGTGGTCTATACCAGTTTCCAAATTCTGCTTCCTGTTTATTACATCCATCGGCTACCCAGAGTATGAAATTACGCTCTGGGTAGCCTGGTTGATTTGCTCCAGACTAATAGATGACAACATACCTAATTCTTTTTTTTTTTTCTTTTTGCAACATTTCAAAGTTTGCATAAAATTCCCATTACAATTGGATGGAAACAGCTTCTGGCAAGCTAATATTAGCTGGACTATTGACTTGGTTATCTAGCCTGCAGTCTACTGCTTAACAGTCTGTTAGCATGCTAACTATTTATAGAAAATGTGGAACTTTTTCCAATTTTCCTCGATGTGCGGTCTATGCTAGTTTGCAACTTTTACTTCCTGTTCATTACAGCCATGTGCAGCGTCAACATCTGACAAAATCAAACTTTGCGTCTCAGTGTTGATTCACTTCAAACCTGTCAATGGAAACATTGCTCATTTCACATTTTAAAAGTTTGCTAAAAAATTGCATGATAGTTTGATAGAAGCACAACTACTGTCAGCCTTTTATAAATTAAAACTTCTGGACGAAGAGATGAACGGCAGAAAGGAAAAATATCCTGTAAACTTCTGCAGCATTTTTGTGCATTTTAATAAAAACATTTCCAAATCTATATATTAAAATAGTACAGTGTTAATAATAGATTATATTATTTTAGTAGCAATATTAGTTGTGTCTTTCTTGATAAATTATGTTATACATTTTTATGTAAAATTTCTGTACAAATGCTATGAAAATATGTTTTTTTATTAATTTTTTTTCTCACACACAGTAAGAATCTTACACCAGCCCTAAATTGTGATACTATCTGCTTCTACCTACTTGTGTTTCAGGGGGTAAAGGTCAGCAGAAAGAAAAACATTCAGAAGAACATGTAATGTTAAAGCTCAGAGGTCGAAGAAGAATAAGGTTGATTTACTAAAAACTGTTCAGAATTTTTGCCCTAAGAGAGACTCGAAGCAGAACAATATTTTACATAAAGGATCAAACCATAAATATTGTCTAAATGCGCTTGATGAGATAGAGGTGTGATTGTGTGATTCAATGGCTTGGTTGTTGACACCTAAGGTGTGGATAAAGTGACTGTAGACACTGACTGTGCAACCTGATCACACCTGTTCCTGTTTCACCAATCTGGTAAATTTGTGTGTGTGTGTGTGTGTGTGCGTGTGTGTGTGCATGTGCAAATTTATGTCCATCTTTATGAGAACCAGCTGAAGCTCCAGGTCTTGGAATGTGAGAACTTTTTTTCTGCTCAGATTAAAATGGATGTTCAGGGTCAGGAATGTAGTATTGATGTTCAATAGGTGAAGTAGCACATGATGTTAGTTGACCTCACTAAGATGGCAGCGTATATATTGGAGGTAAATAGACACTGCAGTGGAGAACCTGTGCTGGGATGTAATATTTATAAGTGTCTGTGTTACAAGCTACAGGACTCGACTCGACTCTGGGATTTTAACATGGAAGAGCCTCAGAGCTGGTCTGATACTCAGACACTTTGCTGGGTAACAATAGGAAAGTTAAAAAAAGCATGGATATATTTAGATGTCACTGGACAGTTAATAGGCTGCACAGTGGTGCAGTTGGTAGAGCTGTTGCCTTGCAGCAAGAAGGTTCTGGGTTCAATTCCCGGCCCCGGTGTTTCTGCATGGAGTTTGCATGTTCTCCCTGTGCATGCGTGGGTTTTCTCCGGGTACTCTGGTTTCCTCCCACAGTCCAAAAACATGACTGTTAGGTTAATTGGTGTCTCTAAATTGTCCCTAAGTGTGAGTGTGTGTGTGTGTGTGCATGGTTGTGTGTCTCTGTGTTGCCCTGCGACAGATTGGCGACCTGTCCAGGGTGACCCCACCTCTCACCCGGAACGTTAGCTGGAGATAGACACCAGCACCTCCTGACCCCACTAAGGGACAAGGGTGTACAGAAAATGAATGGATGGACGGTTAATGGAAAAATTCCCAGAAAAGATCCTAAAAAAAAAAAGAATAACTTTTTCAATTTGACTCTGTTTTTTCTTCTTTCTTTTTGTTTTTGTTTTCCATACAGTTGCAGTCGAAACTTACTGTAGACAGGGATGATATGTTTAAGGGTGCACCAATACATCGGCTTTCTGATCCTGTCTTCATTGCCTTAAGTTTAAATGTCTATAAATCCTTAAAAAGTCTGAAATTTGTGTGTCTGAAATTAAGGCCTTTAAAATGTATTAAATTCATAGAAAATAACGTAAGCTGGCTTTAAATACATTAATCACAGCTCTTTGATGTTGTCGTGCCAGAACTATTTATTCTTGTACATTCTGTTGAGTTTTTGTCACAGCTCTTTTCTGTCAGGCTACAGTTTGAGTCGTGTCTTCTCTAATCCACACTGGTTCAAAATTATACATACAGGCTCATTTTAAGAGCGGCTGCGTTCTAACAATAGAACCCGGCAAAGTTTTTTATAGCACCAAAAGCCTTCAGCTTGGTCACAACAAACTGGGTCAGATAGTCACATGACCAGGTTCAATGACAAGCCTTTTGCATAAACAGAGACAGACTGGGCAGTCACAGAACAGGACAAATGTGTATACCTAAGGCGATGAAGGTCTCATCCAGGTCTCATCAGGGATTGTGTTTAATTGTTTTAGAGAATAATGTCTCACATAAATGAGTTAAAAACAACATTAAATCAGATTTCTGTGTGTGTTGATCAGGGACGGGTGGAGGTGGAAGCTGGAAACGAGAACATGAAGTTCGAAACCGGCCCGTTCTCTTACTATGGAGTCATGGCTCTGAGCACGCCAACACTGGGTGAGACAACACACACACACACACACACACACACACACACACACACGCACACACACACACACACAGGCTCCCTATAAACATGCACCGGGAGACACAAGCGTGACAATGATGCATTTCTCAGGATGCCTGTGAGGCCTAACGGTCAGAAAATTATTTTTTTAGGCGTGTGTTGGGACTTGGTCACATTTTTACTGACCATACAGTCACACAGAGAAGCACTTCATGTTTGAAACAAACCAAATTATACAAAGTATGATGTTTAGTGAACTTTCTATGGGCATTGTTTTGTTTAACATTTTCTTTTATTGGTGGAAAGAGGGCAGAAAGGAAGGGAGATTAAAAAATTAACACTTAGTCCTGAAGCCTGGGGGTGAAAACTGCCTTTGAACCATTTGGTCTCACATTTCACACCAACTGACAGCAAGAGAGTGAAAACAAGGTGACAGGTGGGCTGTAAATGTCCTACTGAGATAAAAAAGGCAGATCCCAGCATGTTGTTAGACTATATAGTAATGTTAAACTTTTATCATGTTACAACCAAAAACTTTATTGTACTCTATTAGGATTTTATGTGATAAACACAAAAAACATGCATTTGTTTTCAGCTCCCTTTACTTTGATACCCCTAAATAAAATCTAGAGCCACCTTTTGCCTTCAGATGTGACCTCGCTGCTGAACGCCTGAAACAACCGACCTGGCAAGGAGAAAATGAACCAAAGTCACACGGAGGTGGCGGCAAACTCATCAGCCTAACCAGATTATTCCCACAGTGAAACATGGTGGTGCCGGCATCATGCTGTGTGGATGCCAAAGTCACACCTAAGCTTTTTTTACTTTTGTTTGTTAAAAGTTTTGAAAATTTTGATTTTCCTTCCACATTCAAATGTGGCCTGATGAGGATTTTGACAGGCGGGTTGGTTGGTAGACAAACAACCTACACTGACTGTTGTTTGGTCAATCAACTAAAAAACTAAAAATCCCATTAAAATACACAGACATTTGTGATTGTAACATGAACAAAATGTGGTAAAGTTTTGGCAGTACAAATCCTTTTGTTGCGATTCCTCATGAGGCCAAGTACACAGCCTTGCAGGAAGCCAAGACAAGCAGATCTTACTCACGGTTTGACACTAGGGGGAAAATATTTTCTGGGAGTTTGAAATTACATTTTTTAACATAAAATATAAATCGTAAACTGCATAACTGTCATAATATTTTATTAAAGCACTTGAAAAACTTATGGTGAATCTTTAGTATGCCATTAAATATAAGTATACAGTATATACAAAAAAATGCACAAAACCAGAACAAATCTGCATGTTGTGAAAACAGGCAGTGTGTTTGCTCCATATTGGAAAAGTCTCATGGGGAAAATACATGAAAGTCTATCTGAGTTCTCCTTCACTCGCTGATGCTCTTTGATAAAGTGCAGCGTCATTGAGCTGACAGTAAAGCCATCTGTTTGTACAGAGTGGAAGGAAAGCCAATAGGCTTAGTCCTAATAGGGAAGCACTTAGTTTGTGTCCTTGTTCAAGTCGACAGACGACCCAAACAAAACTGACCTCAGACTCAACAGATATTGACTGGTTTGTTTTCCTCTCAGACATCAAAAAGGAGCTTCTAATGGACCGGGGCCGGTTGTTGACGGGACGAAGAGGAGGCAAAGAGAGCATTGATCTCTCAACATGAAGATCTATTTAGGCGTTTACCAGTAAAATCATTCAAAGTGACCAAGCTAGACAGAGACACTTTTATTGTGTTTGTTACTGAGTGGTTTGGTTTTGGTTAGCTGAGAGAATTCTGCGTCAGAGTTCAGATAGTTTCCAGTGGGGGCGGCGGGGCTACAGATTAGCTGACTGTTTCCCCTGAGATGGCCTGCCAGGCTCTTGAGAGGATTTGTCTTATTGGTGGTTAAGGGTCATCCAGCAATGCCGCAGTGCACCCAAATGAAAGGTGATGGGCAAAAAGAAACCGGGATGTCTGAGCTCACTTATGGTTTCTAGATTTATTTATTTTTTCATATGTAAAATTGGTGTTGTCGTTAAGTCTCTGGCTGAACAGTGGGATAATTTTTTAGAACATGTTAGGGATGCACCAGTAAATCAATCCAGATTTCCTTCATTTTAGGTGATCAGCCGATAATTAGATGAGAAACCGATCTTATCAGCCTCCGCAAAGTTCTGAAAATCAGCCACTGTCTTCTTTTGCTCTACCATGACAGGTCTGACTAACACGCCCCGCCCCGCCCACAAGGTCACATAATAACATGCATGGTTAACAATAGTCACCTCACTGTTGCCAACTTAGCAACTTTCTTGTTGTATTTAGCGACTTTTCAGACAAAATTCTTGTAATTGGTCAAAATCAGAATCGGCAGATGGGACTTTCTAAAGACCGGCCAGAAAACGGTCATCGGTGCACCTCTAGGACGTGTCTTTGTCTCACTGGATTGTTTCAAATGATCAAACTAATTTAAAAGTTGAGGAAATACAAAATAGCTATTTTTTAAGCATTATTTCATCAATTAACTAAAAAAAATATTCACGCCAAACTAGCCTTGTGTGAGAAACTACTCATGCCCTAAGCCTAACAACGGTCATTATGCATTTACAATAACTGGTGGACAAATTTGGGCCCACTCTTCCTTGCAGAATTATTTTTAATTCAACCAAAATGAAAAGTAAATTGTTTTTTGTTTGTTTTTGTTTTTTTAGCATGAAGACCAAAGGACATCTAATCTACGTCTGGACTTTGACTAACAAAAACGTATTTAGAACTGGACTCTCTCTCTCTCTGCGGAGTAGTAACTACACCTGGACACACAATCTGTTCACATACTCAGACTGACTAAACACACACACAGTAGAGGTCAGTGGATGTCACAGCTGGTTTTAAGCTGAAGTTCAGTGCATCATATTGCGGCACAAGTCTGCCCCCTTCTGGTTCACCGTTGCATCTTTCTCTCTCTGTTTTGAGAGTGATCTTTACTTTTGCCTAATGTCTGGAGATGACATGACATGAAAAGTCATTGCCATTTTCTCCCGGTTAAACGTGAATAAAAACACAGACCAGATGGGAAACTGACAGACTGAAACTGTGATGTGCTGAGTGTCCTTCTCTTCTTCCTGTCGCTCTCTTTTCTCTCTGCTGTTTGCTCTTCTCATGAACATTATGCAGCTCTATCAGTTGTTGTCTTAAAACAAATTTAAATATACATCTGATTTTTATAAACAGGTTGGATCAGCTCCTGTCTTTTCCAATAAAAAGAAAACAAACAAATCAACCATATCAATTCTCTTTCTGTGCCTCTTTCCTCCCTTCCTCCCTCTCTTTCTGCCTCTCTCTCCCCCTCTGTCTCTCTCAGCTGTCACCCCTCCTCGCTCCCCATCAGTGGCGTCCCCCCCTCCACGACGCCTCTCTCTTAAGAGGTTTTCTGTGTTCTCTCGTTTCCCAGGTAAACATTTGCATGGGACGGAGGGGGAGGGGAGGGGTCTGTGTTTATGAACACAATTTTTCTTCACGAGTCTCATTGATTGTTTTTAAGTCATCTTTAGAGTCCACATCCAGCCGGTTTCATGTCAACGCGTAATATAAGTACTTTTAACAAAGAATACTTTTTAATGTTTTTCTTTCTGAACGGCTGAAAAGAAAAAAATGTTTCTTGAAGAGCTGTGGTTGTAAAGATGACGGTTTAAAACTGTTTAAGAACTCCAAATTCATAAATCCCATCAAAGACAGCTGACAGCCAACCAACATTGTTGATATTTAACAAAGAAAAACTTCAGTTTTGCTTTCAGTCTTTTCCTGGGAATTTCAAATTCTTTTTCAAATATATTTAGAAAAAAATAAGGATTTAATTCAACTTCAGTAAGATAAATTCAGAGTCCGTGTCATTTTAAGAGACCAGAGCAAAATCCTACTAAAGCTAGAAAGCATTTTTAAGTAAGTGTGTTTATTGTTTAGAATATTATCACTTATTTTCAGTTTTCCCTTTGTGAAGTAAAATTGTCGACTCCAGTCGTGTATCTATCAGCATTTTTTTGACGCATTGCATTAGAAAAGCTTGACAGGAATGGCAAAAGTTGTAAAAACTCCCTTAATTTCGCAAAAAAGTTTTCACGTTCACTAGAAGTGTTTGTTGTTGTTGTTGTTGTTGTTTTTCCAACAAAAAACAGAGTCAATTTGCAAAAAGGGGAGAGGGAAACTCATTTTCTGGCTACGTTTTGGCTTAGCAACCGCTCCCACCCACTAGTGGGTCTGTGCCTTTCGAGAGGCACAAAACTCTGAGCAATTTCTAAATCCAAGTCCTTGGAGATGAGGAACTCTCTCCATCTGACATGTGTGCTCCGTGCTAGCTTGCAGCCTCTACTTCCTGTTTGTTACAGCATTTCTTTTCGCCAACATTTGACAAAACCTGGTTGATTTGCTGGGCTGTGCCTATTTGTCCAGTTTTTAGTAGGACATGCATTGGTTATTATCTAAATTAAAACACAAAAATGATTCTTTGAAACAACAAAATGCTTGCAGATTTCCACAGAACAAAGGTCCCTGTGTGATTGGCAGCTGTCAGTGATTTATGATAATATTCAAATAATCATAGATCTGATCAGCAATGAAGACACGTAAACGTGTTCTGAATTGTCGCTAAAGTGCAGTTCAGTTATAATGAACAACTTGCTGGATGGGACTCTAGATGATGCGCCCTCTAACTTCCTACCCTAACAAAACCAACACCTTGTTTAACCACTGGGTCCCAGTCAGATGTTCTCCATCACTCCTTCTGCACAGAAGGGTGTGGTGAATCTGACTACAGAGCTCTGGTTAACTCAGTAGTTTCACACTTTAACAGATGTGTTTATTTGCTCTCTGCGCCTGAGAATTTATTGACAAGATATTCTTTTGAGAAACGCCATACCTCAATAAGGATATATATAAGTAAATAGTAATATTTATGATACCAAAATGTTTGCTATTTTAAGGTAAAGTGTGAAGTAACCAAAGCTGCTGTGTTGTTTGTTCTGATTGACCTGTTGGTCTACACATGTAGTGCTTGTAATCTTTGCCATCTGGTCTAGACCAATCAAAGCTAACCACTGAATAATAACACTCTAACCATAAAACCCCTAAACCAGGTCCAGAAGCAGAGTTCTGGTTGTGTTTTTCCCCAGAAAACCATCAGCTGAAGGGCTTAAAGTGAGGTTTTATCTTTGGCATCTCACTTTGTATGCAGCACATTTTCAACTTTATCAAGACCTCAGGAGTGAACATTGCATTGCATACCACAACCATATTTCATAAATTTGATTGCTTTTGCTGGAAGAGTTCCATTTTGAACTTCTGTTCAGTAACACGATTCAAAACTGTCTCTGTCTGGTGCTTAGTCAGATTTTTTTATTTATTTTTTTTAACATTTGGCCAATTATTTGACAGTTTGGCTCATTCACAGACACCGTTCCTTACAAAAAGTACTCATGTCCCATGGACCTTTTTTATATTTTCTCATATTACAACCACAAGCTTCAATGTATTTATTGGGACTTATGCAAAGTAGTGAATAATCTGGAAGTAGAAAGAAAAGGATGGAAGGTTTTTATCAACTTTTACAAATAAAACTCTTGAAGGTTGCATGGCTGCATGTTTGTTACAGAGCAGTAAAAAAGGTTTGCATGTAGCCCAAAAGATTTCATTTGGGTCTCGCCTTCTTCCACGTTTGCAGTGGTCCCTAAGTGGATTGTTGCTAACTTTAAATAGGACTTAGGACCCCTAGACTGCTTGTTTTATTAATAATCTTCCTGCCTGGTGTGTCAGATTGTCTTTACAAATAAATAAGGAAAGTGTTTTATGTACTTGCAACTCCTTTATGCACTGCTTTGTATCCAATAAAACTCCTATAAAATACATTGACATTTTTTGGTTGTGAAAAGGTTCAAGGTGTGAATACTTTTGCTCTCCACTTATGTCGTAAAGTCAGAGTAGCTGTTTCCCACCGCTTCCCATCTGTTCGTTACGGCCTAAGCTAAGGTTATCGTCAGAATACAGCAGCATATGATTTTATTAAGGTGAACTATTCCTTTAAGCCCAGACGTTTTCCTGATCCTCCCCACATAATCTCCACACTCTCAAACTCTTATCATTACATTTGCTGTTTGGCCACTGACCCCAGAACAGCCCCTCCATCACTTGGACCATGAACCAGCCAATGAGAGAAGTCCGTCCATGCGGACAGATCGTCCTGTTGCGGCCATGCAAACTTCAATCTGGGCACTTTCTCTCATCGCATGGCTTGTTTGTTGCATTCTCTGCAAAACAAACAGTCTCATTTCTGCATCAGTTGCTCATCGACAATGCTTTGGATGTTTTTTTTTGTGATGTGTTACTTTGTGTTCATCACTTCTCTCTGCATTCAGTATGCTACACTTTTCCCTGTTTCTTTTGATTCATCCGTTCACGTTGTGTTTTTTCACCACGCAGTCTCCCGTCTTTGCTCCTTCTGTTTGTTTTCTTGCGATGCCACCGCTGACCTCTCCTTTCTGTTCGTCCCCAGAGTTTCGTTCTCCGTCGCACGCGGGCCACCTGAACCGCTCGGCCTCTCTGAGCTGCACTGAGCGCGCTCACGAGGGCAGCTCCATCGGCGGAAGCAACACTCAGATCCCAGGAACCCCTTTCCAGTACATCCCAGACTTCAGCGTTCGAGCTCTGGCTGATCTTCAGTATGTCAAGGTAACGCAGAATCACTACCACACAATGCTGCCACATAAACAGAAAACAAAGAGTCTTCAGACAGATACAGGCATCTTTTGAAGGTGTTTGCACACCTGATTGTCCGGTAGACTCATTTGTTACATTTTCAGTTGTGTGGTTCACTTTCATGTCGTGCTGTATCAAACAAACAGAACTCTTTGAAAAACTTGTTGTGTCCTCTCGCTTGTGGTGGCGTTGTACCAAGAACCACTGAAGGAAACAAGAGGAAAACCTCTGAAGAAGACATGAGTGCAACTTCCTTAAAAAAAAACAAATGGAGTGGCATCAAATTTTAGAGTTTTTGGCAAAACCTGCTAGCGCTAGACTTATACATTTGTTTTGATTGTATTTACCCAGAATACCCTGCATTATAGTTTGCTTCCTGATTTTTGTGCGGTCTCTGGTCCGAACTGAGACCTGGGTTTGTAGGTAAATCAGATTTCACTTTTTTTTTAGTCGATTGCTTCATTCACACCTCCCCAAACTTTCTAGGCAAACGTACCAGAATTGCATTAAAGAAGACTAAACAGGGCTGGTGTGAATGAATCCTAAGTCTCTATCCAGTCAATTCAAATATGTGACAAAGGTGAATCAGTATTATTTTTCCACTCTTGTAAAAGAGAAGGGCCAAGTGGAGGCCTCACCAACATGTACAAATCAAATGTACAGCTTAATATGATGCTACTTCTGCGTCAGCTGAGACTTCAACTTCAATTCAAGATTATTACATGATTTAGTGATTATATGTCAGCGATGCAAGTAGGGATGCACTGATTGCAATTTTTTTGGCCAATCATCAATCTTCAATCTTGTCTGAAAATTCGCTATATGTTGTGAAAAAGTTGTTAAGGTGGCAGCAGTGGGTTGACTATTTGTTAACATGCAGATGTGAATTAGTGGGCGGGTCTGTCAGTCAAGATAACATCGGCTGATTTTCAGACCTTTGCAGAGGTAGATAAGATCAGCCAATCACAGACCTCACAATATTATGGAATTAGGGGCTGATTTATCGGTGCACGTCTTTATTCAAGTAGCAACACTAATTAATACTTCATCTTGTTAAATTGTGACATTTATTAGCACCTCAAATTATTATTTAAGTCACTGTATCGCCCTGTATTAAACCTGTAAGACATATATCCTCATATATATGGTTAAATGTAGAGATGAACTGGTAGTAAAGATGAAGTAAAAATTGTTTAGCGTTCCGTTATCCTCCTCAGGTCACCCGCGCTCAGTACCAGAACGCTCTGCTGGCGTCCCGCTTGGACAGCACGCCTCAGTCTCCGGAGGGCAGCCACGTCCGCCTGGACATCTCCATCTCTCTGCCGCCCCTGACGCCCCTGGAAACCAAAACGCCGCTGGCGCTGGCCACGCCTCCTGTGAAACACCCGTCGTCCAACACCCAGCACGCCTCCCAGAGTGCTCGAGCCACCTTCACCATAGGCTCCACCGGCCGCCGGCCCAGCCAGGTGTTACCCCAGGCCACGCCCCCTCCCAGCAACCACACACCCCTCTCACAAACCCCTCCCTCTTGTGTGAGCACTGTGCCATGTGCTCTGAATCCTGCAGCGAGCTCGTCGCTTTCCTCCAAACCGCAGCACCCGCCGCCCTCCGACAGCCCGGACAACGGGCCCGGAGAGACCACCACTCTGCTCAGTGAGCAGCCTAACTGCGTGGGCCCCCGCCGGCCCAGTTACACCCAGCCCTCCCAACATATTCACACCATCAGTCACGCACACACTGAAAGCACCATTTAACTCCGGTCCTCTTAACTCCGGTCCTCTTAACTCCGGTCCTCTTAGAGAGCCGTCGGTTCAACCTCCTTGCACTACTTCCTTCTCCTGTTGGCCGTTTTGGTCCTAAGCAACATTGTTTCTGTGGAAACCAACAAAGGATCAGCACATCTCTACTCTCTGCCATCTCCTCCTGCATGTTCCCATCCCAACACTGAACCCATTACAGAGTGGGAACCAGAGGATGGACCAGTCCAACCAAAAAGAATAATCTACCATTGCATTTCGTTTTATCTGCACAGGTGACGGTATGTCTGCCTCTGCCTGAGTACAATGAAGGTAACTGGAAGAGAGAGTTTACACTGCCCCCCTGTGGTGGCATGTTAGATTGCATTTCTTACATACAGTCATAAATCATGCATCCAGTTGTTTAATTTGAGCCCCGTAGCTTTCTACAAGTAAACACAAAAACCCAGCACCATTCACTAGAGTTTTAAGGTGATAGAGAAGCTTTTAACAAACAGCTTATGAATCAAAAACTACAGGACTGCCTCCTGTGTGGGTTTGTCTTTATCCACTAGGGGGCAGATTATGACTTCATGAAATGAGATCCAAAATGCCACAACTGTTGTAAAGTAGATATTTGTATATAATTTAAATTATTTCAATAATGTTTTAATAATTTATTAAATAAATCATTAAGTGTGAAATAACTGATTAAAATGTATTTAAAGGAACAGTATTATAATTTTATAGGTTAATCAGGTAACTATAATGTAACTACCTTCAGTTTTTAAAATGCTCTAAATATCAAATATGATTTAAAAGAAATTTGACTTTGTTTCTTTAAAAACTCCTGCTTTTTCTGAAACTGCCTTCAGGAAGTCATCACAACATGGCTCCTCTATTAACCCTTTAACTGGAAGAAGTGTAGTTAATTGTTTCCTCGTCCCTGATGTTGCAGCACATAATTAATTTATCATTATTTATTATATCAGGAGGCGGAGCTAACCTTGCTATAAATGAGCTTATTGTTGTGTGGCTGAGCTGGTGTAAAGGTTAGCCAATCAGATGCTAGGACCTATTTAAAGAGCCACAGTGGTGTTAAAGAAGTAAACACTAAATATTTATGTTACTTTAACACTTAATAAATGAAAGTTTTATTTAATTATTTCCACATGATTGCAGTTTCCTGGCCAACTTTAATCTTTGAAAAACCAGACCTGCCAATTCCGATTTTGGGCGATATTGTTTTTTTTTTATTATATTTATTTGTTTTTTGTTTTGGCCTGAAAAGTTGTTAAGTATATTTAAATATTGGCCGATCATCGATCTCCCAAAATTAAGGGAATCGGTGCATTTCTAATTTCAATATATAATTCCATTTTTAGATAAATTATTCACACATTCATGTAGCTATAGATTACTGTTTACGTTAAATGGTCACATATGGAGATGTTTTACAACAAATAAACTATTTGATTTAAAATATTTAGATTTTTGCCTAATGAGATTCAACAGGGTTTAAAATAATCCCAGTTACCTCCACTGTACTTTGGTCGCACACATATATATCTATATTTAATACCCATTGCAGATAAAATTTTTGTTCTTTTTTTTTTTTTTGTAATCATTGCAGACTGACCTTTAACCTATCCACTGGGAGAATACATGACTGCCGTGTCCCTGCCTGAGACGTTTCCAGTTAGTTGCATCTATTTATTTCATTGAATTTTTTTTTTCCTCTTTGGTCCAAAGATTGAAGCTGCCAAAGTTAAAGGAGTTAACGATGGCGGTTTCATTTACAATATGCATGATTTCAGGTTGGTCTCTTGTCGCAACTCTGTTCATCTCAATTTTCTGGTTTGAATCTGGTCTTAAGTCGTGAAGGAGTTACAAAAACCAATGCCTGTGTCAATTCAGCTACCAGCAAAGTGACCAGATTCACTGTAGCTGACAGCTCCTGCAGCAGGAAGTGAGATCTGAAGCAGCACACATGTTTTAACCCAGAGAAAGTCAAACAGATGCCTGATGAGCATGCACACTGTTGGTTTTATTACTTCTGTTTAAGTATTCAGAAATAATAAGACATTCAGTTTGAAGCTTTTAGTTTGAAAATCACTATTCAAAATGGGGTTAGAGTACACATATTCTAACATATTTTAAAAAATTATAATTTTACATACAATAATGCAACTTTGAAATCTATATTCAACTGTCAAGATTATTATTTAATTCAGTCTTAGTAGAAGTATATGTACAATGCCGGCCACATTCATTTGCTACCCCTGGTAAAAATGTGGTAAAAAAGAAACATTTTTCTCGGGGGGAAAAAATGTCAAAAAATAAACAGCCTTTCATTTGGAAAAATGACTGTTATTTTCCAGCAAAGTTCCAGGTGGGGCCTTTCTGGGAACTCCAACTTCTTCAAAGATACAAAATAAAGACAAAAAAAACCCCCAGCAAGTCAGTCTAAAATGTCCTTTAGGTTTATGATTCTTTCCCCTTCCAATATCCTGGTAGCCAGTAGAGGGCGTACCTAGCATGTTTACTTCTGGAGCTACATCCTGTGTGGATTATGCTGCAACAGAATATGGAATATGGTAAACTAACTGCTAGCTTAATTTGTAGCTCGAAGCTGCTAGCTTAATATGTTGTTAGGAGCTAAATATTTAGTTTGTAACAAAATATTTGGCTTGCTAATTAAATATTTAGTTTAGTGTGAAACTGTCATATTTCTAAATAAATGAATAACATTATGAAAATATGACTTGAAAAATTAACACTCTTTTTTTATTTATTTAACAGACTCCTGACTTTATTTACTGTTAATTTTTGACTGTGTAACTTTCCAAATGGCACCCCATTATACACTGCTGCCATAAATAATCATGTTATTTGAAGGATTTTTATTGATCTTCAGCCTGCTGTAAATGTGGCCGGTACTGTACCTACCCGGAAATGTGAAAAATCTTTAAAAGTCTGCCCAGTACTTTTAGACTTCTTTATTCAAACAGGAAGTCATAACAACCAGTGCCTGCCTGGAATCTGCAGTGTGCAATAAAAAGTAAAAGCAGATTATGTTGAAGGGGTTGAAACCTGTAGGAACGGTGGTGAGGTGCCGCATCAACAGAAATGATGTTCTCAATGATTTCCTTTCAGAGAGTTGTATGCAAGTATTTATTTGTGTGGTTATATTTCTTCATGAATTTAATTTTTTTTTAACATATATTTGAAAGTGGGTTTATTGTTTGCTTTCTAACTGAGGGACAGCTTATTTTACGTCTTCCACTGGAAATCCCTCACTGTGAATGGTTTGGTGGAGCTTTGGTTCCCTCTCAGAGAGGTGGCCAAACCTGAACCAGCCTGTTGCATCTCGTCGTGTTTTAAATGATTTACTGGAACAGTCGCGGTTACAAATTACACTCAGCTTCTGTTTTTATTTATTTCCACCGGGTTAGCTTAGGTTGCAGCTGTTTAATGATCAATAGCTCACCTGAAGACCAAATAAGGGAGGAACTGGCCGTGCTCCCAGTTTTCTGTACGTTCATAGCACAGCTGGCTACTCTGCAGAAACTAAGTGATTCAAACCTGACCAAACTTTTGCCAGAATAAGCTAAACTTGTTTGGTGTCCAACAGAAAAGCTCCTTACCAAATAAACAGGTTTTTATTTGTAACAGCGTGGCATTTTGGGACGTCTCCCCTTCCTTAGTGAGAGTTAATGTGAAGAGTTTTACTGTCATAAAACTGTTGCAGTAGTTTGTCTAAAAAGATGGGAGTCTTTTCTGTTGCAGCTTACAGTTATTTCTTAGAATAACTGATGTTTTGTCATTCATTTTTATGCATTTATGAAATCAAATAATTTATTCCCTGGTTGTTTGTGGGGATTTTTTTTGTGATTCACATTGTGAAATATCTTTAATTTTATCTTCTGGTGTGTTCCCCTTCTACTCAGTAGTTGACATTTCTGAGTTTTAAGCAGTAACTGGAGCACCTGAAATCAGAACTTTGTCTTAAGTCAACGTAAAAATTCAGCATGGCTGCCATGCTTAGAAAACAATTTTTATAAAGGGTAATTAAGTTGTTTATTTGCACATCTCAGGGTCTGCTCAATCCTTAACGCTGTAATACACATGTAGCGCCAGCAGGTGGCAATAACCTTAACAACTTAAAAATACAAAAGATCATTGACGTCCACACTCCGGTTTGTCAGGTGGCAGTAAATGCACCTTAAATTGCCAACTGCCAATAAAAAAACTAAATAATAGGAAGAAGAAGAAGCGCCCTCACTCTCACAACGTGACTAAACAAGATAAAAACAGATTAGCTAAAAACAATGCCTCGGTGCTTTTTGACGGGTCAAACATTTCTTATTGGAGCCACAAGCTAGTGGTGCGTTGTACTGAAAGTAGGATTTTTGCATCACACTTAACAGTTTTCCAGTTGCAGGTTGGAAAATTAGGGAGATTTGCTAACTGTTGGTTTGCTAAGCGATCTACGGTTAGCAATACAACCAGAAAAGTTTTTCCAACACCTTCACTGGCATACATTAAACTGTACCATTTGTGCAACTGACTAAAAGAGATTTAAACTGACCTAATAAACAGGTTTTAGTGACTGCTGTCATTATGTTTTATATGATTGGCAGCCATATTGGATTCTAAGACTGAGTTTGATTTTCCGAATCAGAATTCTGCTACAATGTATTTTTCTGGCTTGCAACTCAGAAACTCTGACTTCCGAGTACAAATTGAATGCACCACAAATCTCCTAAACTTCAACTTAAGTCCAGTACGTTTTGGCTCCATCCAGGATCTTATCAAACGACAATCTGTGCTCGCTTCTTGGCAGAACGAGGTCCAGATCAGGAATTTTGAATTAGTTTGAATAAATGTGAACAGTCAAATGAAATCCAGCAAATAACTGGCACCAGGTAAAATCAGTACTTGAAAAGGCATTAACAGAACAGATAGAGCTGGAGCTTTACAGAAAATGTATTGTTTAATGCTTGAAAGAGGTTTGATATGTGAACATATGTGTTTTAAAAGAATCTAAAGGTACAGAGGTCAGTGGGGGAGTTGGGATGGAAACACTAGTAAACCAGCTGTAATGTGGACGCACTGTTAAAACCTTGTTTCCACATAACTTTTAGGATTCTAATTGATCTCATATGTTGTTAAAATGTCCACCTTCTGTTGGCCTTGGTCTCCAAATCACTTTGACTAAACTATATGTTTATGAAGCAAGTTTTTCATTTTCCTTTTTTTAACCATAAGATTGGCTTTTATGTGCCTAACTACTGAGTTCCCAAATTTAATAAATTGGCTTTTCTAATAATTCTTCACAAACTGCAACAAGTGGGTAAGAATTTCTGTCTCGCACATTTGGGTCAGTTCCGGAAAAATGGAACATCTGTGTGGAAATAAGCTGGTCATGCTAAGCTAGCATAGTGGCTAACTGGAGTTCAAAAGACAACCCATTGTCACTTTCATAGCAACCATCCCGTTAGAAGCTCCGCCCCTGGCCTCAGAGAACCTTCCAGAACAGAGTCTTACCTCATGCTCCTCACACAGTGGGAAGTACATTTTAACATGTCTGTAAATGATGCTGACTGCTTGTTTTGGAGAATTTAGCTGTGTTCAGATGGACTGAAACAAATGAAGCCACTCAGTCCTCACTGCGTGCGGTCTGAGTGTGTTTCTGAAGCTGCTGCTGTGTATTCAATAGGCTCGGGTCATTTTACCAGTTTGTACTTTAAGAGTTTGGTTGTTTTGTACACTACCTGTATAGCTAAGAAAAGGAGCCGTTAGCCATGGGTTGCATGGTACCAAACACAAATAGTCGATACCTGCTTCGGGGACTCGGTATGACAACTGATGATGTAAAGATCTTGTCTTTGATCTATTTTTGTTGTACTTGAAGAAAATTGAGTTTTGAGACTTCAATGCACCCAGACAGGAGCTAACTTAGAGCTACTTTAGCTTAAAAAAGGGTCAAAATTGATAATACTTCATAGAAATTAAATGGTCCAAGAAGAGATTAGATTCATAACCAATGGTAATAGTGTAAAGCCTTAAGGGGAAAAAAATACAATTAAATAAAAGTCTACAAGAAATGTAAGCATTTTTGATGATTTATCTCCAGGATTCATCAAAAGTTCTAAACTAACAAATTAACCAAGTTTGATATGCAATGATTAAATGGGTGCAAAGTGGTTAATTTATGGCAGCGGTATCCAAAGTGTGGCCCAGGGGCCAGTTGTCATCTACTTTCTTTGGTTTCACGTGTGTAAAGCTGTTAATTGACTGCAAAGGTAAACTATTTTGTCGATGACAGATTTATTTGAAGAGTTTAAAAGAATTAATTTGATAAAAATACAGTTTTATAAGCTAGCATTGATGTAGAAACTGTACAGTTTAGAGTTTTGTTGCATACATTTAAAAATGGTAACTATTTCAAAGCATTGTTATGTGAAAGAGATTCCAGATGCTGGGTTAGCAGCTAGGCAAACTGGTATCCTGCTCCAGGACCTAATAGGCTCTAGGTTTACTGTGGCTGTTGTCATAAAGCAAATAGCTGTTTATTTTCTTTATACAAGGCTCTGGCTTCTTAAAGGAAAAGTTCCCCAAAGACCCTGCTGAGGTTGGCAGGTTTTACTGGTCGGATCAGGAAGTGCTTCCTCGTCCAACACAGATTCACACGCAGATTAGAAAAAATCCTATCAGAATTTATTTATTTTTTTTGACATTTTGAATACTGTTTAGGTAATGCAGAATAGTTTTACCTGCAGACAACGGCCTTCAAGATTGAAGAAGTTGCTTCCACAGAATCTTCTTCATTATAACAAGTTGTCTGTCTAGTCCATTTAACCTTTAAAAACGTTATGTGCTCCAGTTGAAACACAGACCAAGATTGTCTAATTAGTGTAAAGAAATTCAGTCAACATTAAGCAGTATTTAAAGATGGCGCCAGAAGACGCTTCCCAGCACTAAAGCATCATGAAGCTAGCCAGCTCTGATACCTGTCCTTTGACTGGCACACATCACAACTAATACAGAACTAATATCCCATCATACCATGGTGTATACACCACACACCTAGCATGTAAGGAAACACTAGCTGTGTTTCCATTAACTGTATAATTTACCAATTTCGGGGGAAAATAAATCACACTTTTCAATAAATAGTTTTGGTGCTAGGATGAGGTGGGTTATGGCCACATTAAAATCAATTTATCTCACAAAACTGCAACGGAAACACTTTTTTTCACGTTACACGAGTCACAAGATCAACAACCGGATGTTTCCACTGGCGTAAACCACAAAGAAAACGACAGGAAGAAGGTGGAGGATGATTGCATAGCATGTTTCTTAATGACTTATTTCATGAACAAACTTGTCCATGTGTTATTTGAATTATGTTTCTTACTTAAAGGAATGA